CACTGACATTAGCCCCCCCGCTTCCTCCCCCCGCACAGCAAGCAGGAGTCTCGGGGAGCAGCTCCAAGGGCAGGATGGGAGGAGCAGCACATGGCAGGAGGGGGAGGGACAGCTGCAACTGCTAGCCTGCTGGGCAGCTGCTGCACAGGGAACTTAGGGGGGCTATCGGTCCACCCTGATTCCAACTACCCACCAGCTAGCTCCACCGGGCTGCTCTTCCTGCAAGCAGTGGACAAAGCAGGTGGCTGCCAAACGACGTTAGAAGGGAGCATTGCACAACTTTGAACAAGCATGTTCCCTAATTGATCAGCAACATTAACCGGGACGACTTTAAGTGAGGAGTTACTGTACTTAGACTCTGCAGTGATTGGTGCTCCTGGAATGCTGATGGGATCTTAACCGGGGCCTATGAGTCAGGAATTCCTGCATTCTAACCCTGGCTCAAACTAGTTTACTGTGCAGACTTGGAAAAGCTAAACTTGGTTAAACGAGACAACCCAGACTGGTGCCTTGCCTGGTTTGTACTGACTTCTGAGGTCGCCAGCTATTTTGTGATCTAAAGTGGAGCAATGGCAGTGAAAGAAATGGGCCCTCTGTTCTTTTTTTTTTTTACAACTCCATAGCCATGTACCTCGCATAAGTATTAGGTTAGCTTTACACTGCAACATCTTTAGGACATCACCAATAGGTATGCAGACATGAACAATTAAAAATAAAACTCTGGATAGGTGCACAATTAGAAACCTGTTTAAAAATGGACTGTCGTATTTAGAAATGGCGTTTCCAGTTTTGGCACAAGAAAGATACTTCTGAACCTACTTTATGAATATGCAAAGATATGTCCTCATTTCTAATAATGACCATCAGTCCGTTTGTCTCCAGGTGTTGTGTTTTACAGAAATTCAGAGGTTCAATTTCAGTGTGGCCACTTTTCTTCAATAAGCTCTGAAACACAAATAAATCATTGCAATAAAGTAAGAATGTTTGTATGGCCAACATATTTTACACCTTACCAAAAATAGGCCATTTAAAATGATTTCCAGTTGTGTATGAAAGCGATGATTTATCTGCAAGTAACCTGGATATTCAGACCCTGGATATGCTAAAGCCCAGCATGAAAAATAAATCTTGTTTTGTTTAGTTACTATTAGATGGGTTTTCTCCCCAATCCTGCAAGCAAATTTATATGAAGTTTGAATTTATATAATCCAGGCTTGTTTGATGAGAGTACCAGTCAGGACTGAAAAGAGTAAGCTATTTTATCAACATGCCTAAGGCAGGGGTTCTCAAACTGGGGGTCAGGACCCCTCAGGGGGTCACAAGGTTACTATATGGGGTGTCGCGAGCTGTCTGCCTCCACCCCAAACCCCACTTTGCATCCGGCATTTATAAGGGTGTTTGTTAAATATATAAAAAAGTGTTTTTAATTTATAAGGGGAGTCACACTCAGAGGCTTGCTGTGTGAAAGGGGTCACCAGTACAAAAGTTTGAGAACCACTGGCCTAAGGTGCATTTCTGTTATTGATGATTTTGTTTCTAAAATAATCTAATTATCTGAACATTCAACTTACTGTAAATATCAACAAAAAACTTTAAAACTAAATTGATCACTTACTCAAACACCACACAGGCAAAGAAAGAATAAGAAAAAACGGCAAGCGTTTTGCAGTGGACTCTCCCTGTGCCAACCAGTCTGCAGTGAAGAGAGATTCAGAACGGCCAGCACCTATATCATCTCAACTCATCAGCACAGTAAAATCTATTTTCGTACGCTAATATACTCTTGGTTAGATAAACATCTCCATCTGTATATTACATGGGCTCTCGGGGAAGTACGCTACAGCCACAATGCAGAGAGTAGATGACCCAGTATTGAGACAGCATACTAGCTGATTTAATTTTACATTTTTTAAAGTTCGCTTTATAGACAAACCCCACTGCAGAATTAAGTTGCTGAGGTAAAAAAAAAAAATGCACCCAGTCAATCACCTACATAGAAAAGCATGAGTAAGCAGATGGGCTTTCCACCACATCCTGGAAGTCAGGCTATGGTTCTGTGGCTGTCTACGAGAGTCGGCCGGAAAACAGATCTACCTTCCTGCGTAAAATGTTGCATGTTTGAAATTTTTCTTTTGTCCCACTCTGGGACAAAAGGCCAAAAATGCAAAATTTTTCAGGGGAAGGGTGTTCAGGAAATATTCTCTTTCGGGAGCACTGAAACAGAATCTTTTGGCTTCCTGGCTGTCCACTTGTAAGACACTTGTCAACGAAATTCGCAAGAGCCTGCCTGCCGGAGAGGGAGAGAGTCTCCAAGTGACATAGTCTGGCAGCCCTCCAGGAAAACTTTTGTCAATGTCACGGGTAGAAAGGGCACTTGACCAAGGCCTTGCCGTCAGGCAGCTGGGGAGCCCTTATTTTGATTTTCCCAATGGAAAAAAAGTCTCTTTTTTTTCCCCCTGCAAAACTGACATTTTCTTGTGGAAAATTTTGTTTTTGTGAAAAAGCCCTTTTTTTGGGTCAGAAAAGGCACAACTGGGAGCACAGAGAAGGCCCTGGCACACACCATTGTTTTACCACCTGTTTTCTAGACCAGTTCAGAGCTGGTATAGATAACAACAGTGGTAAAGATGCCAGGGACTGTCTACACTAGCTCTGCAACGTTGCCACTTCCAATGCAGCTGAAACGGAGAGATTTCCCCGCCAAAACTCTAGAATAGATAGAGTCTAATTGGGGAAACAAATTCTAGTGTCAAAGACCCCCCACTGAAAACCACCTTACAGTAGCACACAGATGTTCAAAACACTCGGACTCTCGGTTAAACTTGGCTGTCACAATCAGGTGCAGTGAGATAGGCCGGTTTCTCAGGTTAAAAAGGAATCAAACCATGGACTGTAAGGTTTTTTTTAAAAGCACCATCATAAATGTCTTGAACTGTGATCAAAAGCAATCAGAAGACGCCAGTGCAGTTTATGGACCACTGGTGCAATGTGCTCTCTAGGGAAAGAATTGGCCACCACGTCACCGGAGCAAGTAAGCAAAACCTAAATCAGAAACAGTCATAGTTGTGCCAAATGCAAACAAAAAAAGGCATTTCAAGCCAGAGAAGCCACCTGAGACTCCGGGATAATCAAGGAGCCAGGAGTATTCCTAAACTGTGCAAAACCATGACAAAGGAGGAGCAAAGGTTGCCTGACATTCTTCCCAGTATAAACATTTTTAAAAAATGATGAAGCATACACAAACGACTGCCACGGTACAGCCTGGCAAACTCAAACCGTAGTCATCTGGCACATGGTTTTGTGTGGTTTGCCAATTCTTTACTATTATGAACAGAAAAAATGTGAGGAGCTGGATTAGCCTTTAATGCCTGAAGTCCACCTCTTTTCTTTGATCACAAGTGAAAATGAATCAGTGATCGCTGATCCTAGTTCCCTCTGTGTATGCATCACTAAACTACCACACACTTTGGCATAATTTGGTTTGAATTACAGCTCCAGAGAGCCAAGATGAAGTAGCAGAAGGTGTTACTGATCAGGACTGAAATCCTCTAGGACTGACACAGCAGGAAGATACTGCAGGTCAGCATTAAGAAGCATTCGCCAAATTGTGTGAGGAAGCTTGCATAGAGACCGCCTGTGTCATAGCCACTGGTACCAGTTCAACATTACAAGAAGCACTAAGATCACTCCCAATTTTAAACGAACTAGGAAGATTTAGAAATTGCCACATTACCTTCATTCTCACAAAGAAAGGATCATCTTCTGTTTCAACCAGGTAGAACATACAAGCATTTTTGCAAGCCTCTTTAACAACACTTTTCAGTCTGTAGTGTAGAGTGTTGCATAAGTCACTAATCATGTTCTCATAGGAGGCTGTTCTTTTGGGGAAATTTGTGCATTTTTTCCTTTTGCCTGCAGTCTCTTCTGAGGTAGTGCTCTGACCTCTTCCTTTGTTACCCACATGTACATTGTTCAACATCACCCTGTTGAACTCAGCATATTCATTTAAAATGACCGAAATATCCCCCCGGGATTCTTTTAGTTTATCATCATATTTTAACTTGCTGAGATGTAAAGGAATACCATAGTCACGGCCCTGGCTTTTGACTTTTGCAGCATTTCTTTCATTGCTAAATTTATCCTGCCATGGCACAAAGAGAGGTGGTGCGGCAAAATCTGTGTATATATCGTTTCTCAGGTGCCAACTTGAACTACGCTGCCTTGTATCTGAACGCACAACAGTTACCAGAAGGGGACTCCTACTCCTGGGTGGTGCATTTAGACTAGGGGCTTCAGGAGCCTCTCTGAGGGGCAAAGTCTCAGGCATTACCTGGGCAGAAAACTCTTTTGGAAACATACTGTTGGAGGTAGAAAGTTGTGATTTCTGGCTCTTTATTACTTGTTTTAGCTTATAACTGAAACGCAGACATTCCATATCTAAAGTGTTCTGGGTAAGATCATCAATAACCCTCCAGGTCCTAATCAATGAGCTTATTAAGTCCGATCGTTCCACAGAATGGTCATGTCTCTTTGAAGACTGTAAAGGTCTAGTTTTGTCTTTGTGTTTTTTGGTAACAATAAAGTTGGTATAATCCCTCAGGGTGCCCTGATCATCTTTAATATTGACAAACGGGGGCACATACCTATCGTCTTCCCTAAACCCAATGGGCCAGCCTGACTCCACAACTGAAAATCTTTTGTCTGCTTCCAAGGAGTCCCAGCCATCCCTCTTCCAGTTTTCATTCTCTGAGCTTATACGTGAATAATTGTAATTAGTCCTTGTAACTGCTGTTGCACGGATCGCACCAATGGCTCTTGTACCACAAGAGCCCCTACATTTAGCTGTGGGATGGACCGTACCTCCAAAGTATTCCTGGTCAGAGTCTCCAGAAAAAGACTCATATGATAAACTTTCAAAAGTCAAATGCACACCTCTCTCTCTGTTAGGGAATTCTGTACCTTGGTGGGCCAGATGTTCCTCCAAAATATTCTCAGTATCACTAGGCTCCAGAGTCTCTCTAGAGTCTGGGTGTGCACATAATGTTGTAGGCATTTGAACAGAGGAACCAGGGATTTCTTCCCTAGTGACATCGGAGTCGGTCTGATGTAAATCAGCAAACAGATTAGATTCTTCCATCGTACAATCACTCTGCAGTTCTGTTATTTCACAAACAGAACTCTGGTCACATGCTTCTGCGAACTGTTCCTCCTCCTCTTCTAAGATAGATGCAGGGCTCGCAGCAGGACTAGTGCTTCGTAGATCAAATTCCTCACATGAGGTGGGTTCTTCTTTGTCATCATTCTCTACTAAGTCTGCTACTTTGCCGACAGGGATTTCATGTTCTAAAAACATGTCTTTCTTTGCCCGTTCTGTGTAACAGGAACCTGAGAAGTCTTCCACAGCAGAAGACGCTATCTCCATCACAGCTATTTTATCAGTGTGGTCAGAATTCATACTTTTGGAAAATACTGGATTCTTCTCACTTTGCTTTAATAAACTAGTGTGCACATCTGTCTCTCTGCTGATGGGGATACTATGTGGCTGAAAAGCAACAGCAGTCAACAATTTTGGGTTAGTACAAGTGGGCTCGTCAGTTGGAGACATCTCTTCCTTACTCCCCAGTAGGTCTGCTCTTTTAACTACAGAGGTTTCGTGTTCTAGAAATGTGTCTTTCATTGGTCGTTCGGCATAACAAGAACTTGAGGAGTCATCCCCAGCAGACAAGGGTGTTTGACTCTCAGAGATGGAGCACATTTCCGTCACATCTCTTTGATCAGTGTGGTCAGAATTCAAATTTTTGCAGAGCACTGGATCATGGTCACTTGGCTCTAATATACTTTTATGCAGTTCAGTCTCTCTGCTAATAGGACTGCTGTGCTGCTGGAAAGGAGAGCCAGTCATCCATTCTGGGTCAGTACGAGTGGGCTTGTCAGTTGGACTTGTCTCTTCCTCACTCAAAATAAGACTGTGCGTACGCTGATGATTTGCCAAATGAATGTGTTTCAAGTCCAAATGTTCTTTAGCAAAAGATTTTTCATTATCCGCTGATATGATACAAGCTGATTCTACCAATTTGCAAAGAGAGGCCTCATGTTCTCCATGTGTAATAAGCACAGTTATCTGGTTTAATTCATCATTACATGGTGACTTTTTAGTAACAGAACAGACTCCAGTATTCTTAAATTTGTCACAGCTTTTCTCAGCTTCAGAGTCAGCTTCCAAATGTGTATTTTCAAAGACTAGGCATGAGCTTTCACTTGCTCCTGAAGATTTGTTTGGCAGCTCTGTTGTGTCAGTAGAAGGGCTCTTTTGCTCTCCTTGAGTTGCTGTATTGCTTTGTACTTGATTTGATTCTTTAATACTCAGAGAAGTGCAATCAGCAGAATCAGTTCCTCTGTCTTCCTGAGAAATGCAGCTGTCCTCTACTGAACCACTCTGCGCTGATGACTTAATTTCTTCAGCTGGTTGGACAGTGACTTCATGGTTCTCTGGAAGCGCATCTCCAGATTGTGTTATTTCATCAGAAGGTACGTCCTGGACAGGACTTGCACCAGGTGATAATGTCAGAGTTAATACACTATCAAAGGGTTCTTCCAAGTCAACTGGACTGATCGCTTTGCTCTCGTCAGGTATGCAAATTTCCTTAGGAAGTACTAAATTGATTGGATCCCGGTCCATAGCTGCATCATTAATTTCTTCAGCTGGTTGGACAGTGACTTCTTGGTTCTCTGGAAGCGCATCTCCAGATTGTGTTATTTCATCAGAAGGTACGTCCTGGACAGGACTTGCACCAGGTGATAATGACAGAGTTAATACACTATCAAAGGGTTCTTCCAAGTCAACTGGGCTGATCGCTTTGCTCTCGTCAGGTATGCAAATTTCCTTAGGAAGTACTAAATTGATTGGATCCTGGTCCATATCTTCATGTTCCAGATCTGCATCATTACTTTCAGAAAGTGCTAAATCAATTGGTTCTACATTTATACTTTCATAGTCAAAATCTTCCTCCTCCTCCTCCTCCTCCTCTCCCGGGTTTTCTAATGGATCATACGCTTCTCTCCCTTTTCCACATGGGCTATCATGTTCTGTGCTCTTCATAGTCCCTTCTAATTGAATTGCTTCACAGAGACGTTGTGATTCATCACCACCACCCTGGCAATGGTCTTTATCCTCTGCAGAGAGAGTGATGTTGTCCAGTGTCTTTCTTTCCTCGGAAATGACAGTATCATCACTAATAATCGCTGGCTGTTCATCTCCCTGCTTCTCTGGAAATTCAGTCTGTGAAAACGCAGAGTCACTCTGTGAAACTTTACTTAAATCAAGGGCTTGGTGTGCTTCATCGGGGTCATCAGTGGAAAATTCTTCAGGTCTTATCCTTGTATCACTGGGTTTACCAGAAGGGCTGCAGGTAGAGCTACTGATGGAAATTACAGGGTCCAGCAATTCCTCTCTTTTGCTCTTCTCTTCATCAACCTGAAATTACAAAGTTCGAAATTCAACTACTGAGAAAGACAAATGTAGGAAGAGAAACATTCTCTAGTTGCAGAGATCTATCTTTTTAAAGCCTCAAACTTTCATAAGCCAATCTGGTTTAAAAACCCTAGAGAAATGATTTTAAATTCACATCCCAAACATTTTACTGCCAAACTCTGTCTTCAAAATAGACAAATGAGCCCATTCATGTCCCCTATCCTTCCAATTCCCCCTCAACATCTGCTTCTTCTGTCATACTTATAGGATGTTGGCAGCTAACAACAGCTAGGGAGATGGCAAGTAGGAATTCCTGATTTTTTGTTTTGTTTATTTGTATTTTAATATTTATTTTATAAAAAACTGCCTTGAAACCATCTCATGGGGCACATAGCTAATCTAACCTCACACTCTTATCTCTATCACCTTCGTCCTCTCTTTCCAACTTTACTCTCCCTTATTGCGTCTTGTCTGGAATTAGATGTAAGTTCTTTGGAGCCTGGAACTGCCTCTTACATTTGTACAACACCGAGCATAATAGGTTCCTGATCCCAATTATGGCCTCTGGGTGCTATTGCAGTACAAGAAATAGTGAAATCAACAGACACTGTTTACATTAATCTGAGAGCTGAATTTGGCTGTAAAAGCTCTGATTTTTGTCCATGTGGGGCTTGATTACCTGGTGGGGTAATGGGCTCTCCAGGGGAGTGATTTCTAAAGCACACTAATGTGTTGTACATTAATTGGTCTGTGTAGAGCCTGCTGGTGTGCTTTAATGTAGTACTGTTTCAAACAGCACTATGTTAAAGCACACCAGCAGGGTCTACATGGACCAGTTAGTGTGCAACATGTTAGCGTGCTTTAGCAATCACTCCCCTGGAAAGCCCATTACCCTACCATGTAAACAAGTCCCGGTGGATAAAAGTAGTATGATGTAGACCCAGCAGGGTCTACACATTGTATGGACCAATTACTGTGCAAGACATTCGTGAGCTGTAGAAATCGCACCCCCATAGAACACATTATCCCACCATGTAGACAAGCCCTTGGGTTCCTCCCGAAGTACTTCTAAATTTATAGTACAATTCTAAACGTGTATTAAAAACCTTTGGTACGTCCTTTAAAATGCAAAAGGGGACCCCATTATATAGTTTCGCAATTTGTTCAAGATGCTCCAGGAGACCCAGTCTAGGGGCTGGGTGCTCTATCCCAAAGCCGAAAAGACTATCAAAAGGTAGCCCAGAAACAGGTTGGGAACAGGGCCCACAGGGTGGGCTGAAGAGACGCCCTGAAGGGCAGAAGAGCCCTTTGGTTTGTTTGGATCTTTGTAGTTTGGACTTTTGCTACCATGGAACAGGTTATGTTTGTCAGTGACTTGCCCATGGGGCTTCGCCACATCTCCAGCACAGACTGGTGTCTGGAAGGCCGAGGATACCAACCCTGGGGAAAGAAACTGACGCAGGGAGTGCCATGCTCGGCCAGTAGGGGGCATTACAGGGCAGCCATACCCCATGACACACACCCTAGAGAGACCCCCCACCCCAAACATAACAAGCTATCCCAACCTCAACAGTTAAACCACCGTCCCCGTCCCCACCCCTACCCCCCAGCCCAAACACCCCTGCAAACAGACAGCCTTTGCAAGGGGACAACGAAGTCCAGCTGTATTGGACTGAGGGTGAGTGAATTCCAAACACAAAGGGCCTTCATGAATGGAGAATGTCTGGACAGAGTACTTATACACAGATGGGGACTCCATTGGCCGAGCACAACGTGGCCGTATCCCATGGGGAGACAGGGTGCCTCTCAAGTAAGCAAGTCTCAAGCCACTTGCAGTTTTGTCTCAGCGGTGAATGAACGAATGACTGAAACGCCGGTCAGCTTAAAGAGGCCCTGTAAAGCTTTTTATTTTTTTTTAAAAGGATGGTTTATGATCCTGAAATCAGCATCTATAGACTTAAAAAGGAACAAAACCATCACCCACCCGCCTTCTGCCAATCCGTCCTCATTTGTCAGCCAGGTCATGAGTTCATCAGGGTCCACAGTGCTTCATGTGCAACAGCGAACAGCTTAATTAGGGTCTAAGCAATGAAAATCGGGGCGAACATGCTCCCAGCCTCTGCCTAGGTGTCTGTGATCCAGGGCCGGCTTTAGGCCAATTCCCCCGAATCGGGCCCCGCGCCCAGTGGCAGGGCCGCCAGGGGGTAGGGGGGAAGAAGTGGCCGAGAATCCCTTCCCTGGCTAGAGGCTCCTTTTTAATTTTTACTCACCCGGAGGCGCTCCGGGTCTTCGGCGGCACTTCGGTGGCAGATCCGTCAGGCGCCAAAGACCCGGAGCGAGTGAAGGACCCACCGTCGAAGACTAGGAGCGCCGCCCAGTGGGTACAAGCCCCACGTGTTTTTTTACGTAGTGTTTTTTTTTTTTAAAGTCATCCCTGCCGGGGCCCCGTCAAAACTATTCAAATCGGGCCCCGCACTTCCTAAAGCCGGCCCTGGTGAGGTCAGGAGAGGCTCTAGGAGAAACTGAGGCCTGAACGGGGGACTTGACTGCCTGTCAGGAGTGCTCTAAGTCCAGTGGATTCCACTTAATAGAATCCTGGTATTAGCATCGTCTGCTTCACGGCAACATATTGCTGGGAACTACCCCCAGGACCCCATCGCATGAACATCAATGATAATGGAGTTCGGATGTTGGCACCGGCAGGCCGCTTACGAGCAACATTTTTTTTTTACTTTAAGAATGGCCGCACTGCAGGCAGGCTTGTGCCGCTGCAGCAGGGAAGGAAGTGCTGGGTGCCTGCTCTGGTTGCCCCCCCAACCCCGCCCCCGCAAACCTGCCTGCAGCTGGTGCTCAGCCTGTCACAGCACTTCCTTGTGGGCTGCAACCCGGCAAACCTGCTGGCACGCAGGGACCACGCCGGAGGTAAGGGGCTGTGGGCAGGGCTGCAGGCTGGGTGGGGAAGCAGTGGGCAGGGCAGGGCGGAGGGTGCAGCCTGGATACCAGAGTACCTCTCCTTGCACTCTCCAGGCTGCACCCTGCTGGGGGGACTGCACGAAGCGCTGGGATGGTGGAGAATGCAGGGAGAGGTAGGATGCAGGCCCCCAGCACCTCTGCTCCCCGTAGAAAGCCCCAGCATCTGGCCTGCAGCTCCCCTCCCCGCTGCTGCCCTGTCTGTAGGCAGGTTTGCAGGGCTACAGTCAGGGAACGCTCATCCCTGTGTTTCCTTCCCTGACTGCTGCTGTACAAACCTGCCTGCCACTTATTAGCAATTGCTGGATAATGGCAACTTTTTGCTGGCAACAGAAGGGTTGCTAATCAGTGGAATCTACCATATGATTAGCTCCCACCTGCAGGGCATGCTCAGAGCCTTCAGGACTCCTCACATTCCTCCGCACTCTGTTACCTTCCTCTCCATCAACAGATTCGCTGTTGTGACAACGTTCCCCTCACAGGGATGGATACGGCTACTTCCAGCTCCCACGCACACTGGTAGTCTATGAACCCAGCAGAAGGAGCAAGGGTCACTAGTGTGGGAAACAAGGCCCTCTTGTGCCCCCTTTTTACATTACTTAGTATGGGCCTTAGAGGCAGGTGTTTGTTACAAAAACTCCCTATGTCTTTCTTGTGTTGTATTTCTTACATTACGGTACCAACTGAAATCCATCATCTTACCTTATTGAACGCCTGGACGAGATCTACGCATCCATCGATAATCACCTCTTGTGGCCCATCCTTCAAAGGCGGGCTGCTCGGATCACGGCAGTCGTCGTTTGAAAAGCTCTTGATGCAACTCGTGGATGACGGTTCGTCACAAGAAAGCAGTTGCTCAGAGGAATACGATACTGTGCTGGGGATACTGCTGGAAACCTGATTGACCTCAGACGGAGAATCTGCAGGACATGTTTCCAAGCCGAAAGCTCCTTCACAGTCATCGCTCAATTCAAAAGGATGCAGAGTAGTGCTGGAAGTCTGATTGGCCTCAGACTGAGAGTCTGCAGGGCACTTTTCTAGCTCAAAAGCTCCTTCACAGTCATCACTTAATTCAAAAGCATCCAGGCTACTGTTTATTGATACATATTTTTCAGGGTTACTGTGTTCTACCACCTTTCTCGTACTGCTTAGGAATTTGTTTGGTTTGCTATAAAACAGAGCCACCCACATGTGAAGTATAAGCTTCATTTCTTCCACATCATCGGGTATATCAGGGTCCCAAGGCCTGGAGAGGAAAACAAATAAACGTAATTTCTCTAGCTGGTTGTGCAAAATTCATTCACATCAGCTCAATGGATTCAGAAGTCTCAAATGCAGGGAGTTCTTAGCAGAGGTCTAAATTATAAATTAGGTGGTTGTTCGTTTTTGTTTTTCCTTGTCTGGAAAAGGGTGGAATTTGTAGCCATAAATCAGTGGCTATAGTTTCGGATTTTCAATTCATTGGCTGTGGACACCAGCCGGGAGGAATCTGACCAGAGTCTGGTTGGCTGCCGTGCTCCCTGTGGGAGCCTGGGTAGCAGCCTGGCTTGGAGCTGAGACCTCCCCCGGGGGAGCTGGTATTCTTGTCAATTTCAAAGCCCCAGGAGAGCCATGAAATGTACAAGCTAGCCAGCAGCCATTGTAAGGAACGCAATGTCTACACAGTCGCTGCCTCACCCTAACTACACCGACACAAGCCCTACGCCTCTCGTAGAGGTGGAGTTATTATTAGGGCTGTCAAGCGATTAAAAAAATTAATTGTGATTAATCGCGCTGTTGAAGAACAATAGAATACCATTTATTTAAATATTTTGGATGTTTTCTATATTTTCAAATATATTGATTTCCATTATAACGCAGAATATAAAATGTACAGTGCTCACTTTATATTTATTTTTATTACAAATATTTGTGCTGTAAAAAACAAAAGAAATAGTATTTTTCAATTCACCTCATACAAGTACTGTAGTGCAATCTCTTTATCATGAAAGTTGAACTTCCAAATGTAGAATTATGTAAAAAAAAAAACCTGCATTCAAAAATAAAACAATGTAAAACTTTAGCGCCTACAAGTCCACTCAGTCCTACTTCTTATTCAGCTAATCGCTCAGACAAACAAGTTTGTTTACATTTGCAGGAGATAATGCTGCCCGCTTCTTGTTTACAATGTCACCTGTAAGTGAGAACAGGAGTTCGCATGGCACTGTTGTAGCCGGCATTGCAAGTTATTTACATGCCAGATGCACTAAAGATTCATATGTCCCCTCATCTTCAACCACCTTTCCAGGGGACATGTGTTCATGCTGACGACAGGTTCTGCTCAATAACGATCCAAAGCAGAGCAGACCGATGCATGTTCACTTTCATAATCCGAGTCAGACGCCACCAGCAGAAGGTTGATTTTCTCTTTTGATGCTTCGGGTTTTGTAGTTTCCGTATCGGAATGTTGCTCTTTTAAGACTTCTGAAAGCATGCTCCACACCTCGTCCCTCTCAGATTTTGGACGGTACTTCAGATTCTTAAACCTTGGGTTGAGTGCTGTAGCTCTCTTTAGAAATCTCACATTGGTACCTTCTTGCATTTTGTGAAATCTGCAGCGAAAGTGTTCTTAAAATGAACAACATGTGCTTGGTCATCATCCGAGACTGAAATACATGGCAGAAAGTGGGTAAAACAGAGCAGGAGACACAGTATTCTCCCCCAAGGAGTACTGTTAAAATTTAATTAAACACTTTTTATTTGTAACGAGCGTCATCAGCATGGAAGCATGTCCCCTGGAATGGTGGCCAAAGCATGAAGGGGCATACGAATGTTTAGCATATCTAGCACCTAAATACCTTGCAATGCCAGCTACAAAAGTGCCATGCGAATACCTGTTCTCACTTTCAGGTAACATTGTAAATAAGAAGCAGGCAGCATTATATCCTGTAAATGTAAACAAACTTGTTTGTCTTAGCAATTGGCTGAACAAGAAGTAGGACTGAGTGGACTTGTAGGCTCTAAAGTTTTACATTGTTTTGTTTTTGAGTGCAGTTATGTAGCAAAAAAAAATCTACATTTGTAAGTTGCACTTGCATGATAAAGAGATTGCATTATGGTACGTGTATGAGGTGAATTGAAAAATACTATTTCTTTTTTTTATCATTTTTACAGTGCAAATATTTGTAATAAAAATAACAATATAAAGTGAGCACTGTACACTTTGTATTCTGTGTTCTAATTTAAATCAATATATTTGAAAATGTAGAAAAACATCCAAAAATAGGTAATAAATTTCAATTGGTATTCTATTATTTAACAATGCGATTAAAACTGCGATTAATTTTTTTGAGTTAATCACGTGAGTTAACTGCGATTAATTGACTTCCCTAGTTATTATGTTGGTGTAGTAGGGCCCTTACATTGTCAGGAGCAAGGCTGTAGCATAGACACTGACATAGTTAGGTCAACATAAGCTGCCTTTTGTCAACCTATCTCTGTAGTGTAGAGCAGGCCAAAGAAACCTCTTTTCAACAGTGCTCCAGAAGTACTGTAGAGAAGTTAGGGCAAGAAATTTACCCACCACTGAGCCACTTACCCATGCAGAGCACGAATTACAGTTTTCTCTAAAGAATTGTTGGTGTATTTGCTATCTAAATTGAAGAGGTAGTCAGCTTCCCATTGACATGTCACCGTAACAGCTCCATCACAGCTCTTCACTGTGTGAGACTTGGAGAAGTCTTCCTTCAACCTGGAAGAAAGGACACCTCTTCTGCGTTTTACTACCAAGTCGTCAAATGGCTTCTGCGTATGAGTATTGTTCTGCTGATGCCGGAAAGGCAGAACTTTCCCAACTAGAGGACCCGAGTTAGCACTTTTAGCTCCATTTCTGAAGGCAGCAGGACCCTGTGCTCCTTTTGGGAGGGTGTGTTTTTTAGAATGTTCTGACGTCTGTGAGGCGTAAGAGTGCTCAGAGACAATAGAAGAATGCTTGTTCACATCTAAAGTATCTAGCACCTCCTTGGAAAGCAATGGCCGGGCTTTTGCAGAGTTAGGGCTTGTGCCGTTCTTCTTGCTGGAAATTACAGGGCTTTTCTCTCTTGGGATAGCAGCTGAGTCTTTTCTTAAATCAGATTTTGCAGGAGAAGGAAGTTTCTGATTCTCTGTTTTGCTAGAAGAGGATGCTCCCTTTAGATGTTTATCCACCCTGTGGTATTCATGATCTGACGCAATTCGCGAAGGCTTCCTTTTCCGAAGAGAGCGTCGCTCTTTTGACAGGTCATAAGGAGAGGCAACTCTACTCTCTTTATGATCAAGTGGAGGAATGCAAGAGCTCAGAGCTAAATCAGCCAACAAATTCAACCCATGTGATTCACAGTTACTTCCTTTCAGAGTCAGGTTGACATCTTGAGCAGAAACACTTTGTGTGTAAGTCTCATTTGCACCACTGACTGTCCCTTGACTTTCTGATGGGATTTCATTTGATGACAGTGACAAAGTCTCTTTCCTTACTGCATAAGAAAAATAAAATCAGATAATATATACTGAACCACAGATTTCTATCATGAGAAATACTTAAAGTAGAGTTCTGCTCTTAAAAGTGACTGTCCAAAATGGCATCATGGGATTTATTACTTCTCAATTATTTCCACATCAAATATACCCCGTTTGCAAGTAAAAAGATATTTATTGAATGGCAAGTTTGCAAATTTAAAATAAAGTTCAAGAAATACAAAAGTTAATTTTGCTATTATTATTGTTACAGTAGCATTGTAGGATTGGGGCTCTGTTGTGCAAGGAGCTGTACATACAGAGAGAGGCTGTGAGTTTACAATGTAACAGAACCTTAACTTGAGCACATGCACATACCGTATACACCTCTACCCCGATATAACGCAACCCGATAGAACACGAATTCGGATATAACGCGGTAAAGCAGTGCTCCGGGGGGGCGGGGCTGCGCACTCCGGAGGATCAAAGCAAGTTCGATATAACGCGGTTTCACCTATAACGTGGTAAGATTTTTTGGCTCCCGAGGACAGTGTTATATTGAGGTAGGGGTGTATATTCAAGTATACATTTAAACAATCCAGCCAGTAAGGAAAAATACTACATATATAGAATGTAACGGCTCTGTGAACCTTACTTTTACACTTCCTCTCTTTTTTCATTTTAATTTTGCAATCTTCATGTTGCATTAACAGTGGTTTGCTATTAATTCTCCACATAGTTTGTAAAGTCTTTAAAAAGAGGAAACAAACCCCATTGATGCATGCTTCCAAGTAGTGCATAATCAGTTCTTCCAAGTGCATAATAGATACATGCATCTCAAAGACTGCATTTTATACAAACCCAGGCACAATTAGGGTGCCCTCTGGAAGTCAGCCAGTGACACAAAACTCCTGAGCATCAGGAATATTTATTTTCCCAATGTTTAAAATGCACCCACCACCACGTCTCTGGGCGTGTGCATAGAAAAACAATACAAAAATTATATAACATTACATAAAGTAGACGCATAATAAAAAACAGTACAAAAAATATCCCTTCCCACCCTTCATGCAAAGCCATGGAAAGATAAGCTCTGTATAGTGTCCTGGGGGCTAAGCGCTGGCTCTGTAGCAAGGCATTTAAGTTGTGTTTCTTCTTTCTAAACATTTTCCCCTTTTTTTGGCACACGCTGGGACTCTGCTGCCAGCTTCTTTCCCTAAAATATTACATACCTACGTATTGTGTAACCGAACCAAAACAACAGGATGTCCCCTCTGAGGACATAAACAAGACACTGGAGAGGCTCGGGGCTCAGCCTTGAGATGCCACCTCATCTCCGCCACAGCCAGTCCACAGGCGGGAGAAGAATGCTAATCTAACAAACGCTGAATGAAGTATATTGCTTACAGCACAGACAGCACGGCTTATTTTTTATGGTCTGGAGTAAAAGAATAACGATTCATAATTTGAGTCCAGGGAGTGAGATTACTCTCCAAAACCTCCTCTCCACTTGGCAAAGGGGCCAGAGAGAAAGCAAGACTGGAGACAGAGAGATCCAGAGAAGGATGTTGTAAAACATGGTGAGTTTAAAAAATGTAAGGGCTTTCCCGTTCCATCATTTATTTTGGCACTTTAATACTAGTTCTCAGTTGTAGACAGAGAGTCTTTGCAAGCCAACATTTGCACATGCTGTATCAACAGGCTTTCCACGCTGCTTTTTAAACTCTCTCTAGTTTATTCTTTTGGGTTGTGGCAATTTCACTATTTTGAAAAGCACTGGATGGATAGTGTAATAAGCTAAAAATCTGGTCAGGTGCCAAATATAAATTGGGCTTATAAAACACATTACACAATTTGCCCTAAAGCAGTTTAAAAGCATGAACGATTCTGAGATGTGAAAAGGGCAGTTTGAATGATCAGAGAACTGCACATTTTCCAAGCTTACTATCTGAGTGATTATGAAGTGTCTCAAAGAGGCCGGAACTATTTACAAATCAAATCAGATATTCATGATAGCCCTAATATTTTAGACGAAAATTTACACAAAGAACAACATTCTTACCAGGTTCCAATTGCTTTATGGCTTTCGGCTTACAGCTCCCTTTAGGTACGGTTTTTATTGTCTTACTTTTTGTTTGCTTTGCGACTTTCTCAGAAGTCTGAACATTTTTTTCATCTGGTTGCTTCAGTTTCCTTGGTTTCTTGGTATCCAAACTAATATCTTCAGGCGAAGACGTTCCTTTAGTTATAGGCTCAGATTGTGTTCTGTGTACAAATTCTGCAGACAGTACCTCAGCACCTTGGATAAAGAAAGGTCTTTTTAAAGGGGGTTAGTTAAAAACATTTTTTTTTAAAAGAAACACTAGTTTCAATAGTAAAAGATACTGCTGACAAATAAGCACTGGTGACAACACGATCCTGATGACAATTGGTTTAAAATATTTGATTTTATAAAGAGGAGTACCGTATATGATTGAAAGCAACCAGCAAATGCTTATTAAAATTTAAGCTTCAATTCACAATCTTATTAGTGCACTATTTCTCAACACTTTCACTGTCCAAGAATCAACACTTGATCAGGTCCTGTATGATAAGTTACTGTACTCCTCCAGCTTGGCACACCTAGATGTACATGTTTAGCATCCCAACTGGCTTCTGAGCGCTTGTCTCTTATTGCTCAGAACTGTTGCCAGGAGCAGAGGCTTTTGGGTAACTGCCAAATGGAAGGCAGCGCAGTGCAGGAAGGAGTTCGGCATGTCAGATGAACAGGTGCAGCCAGGGCCGGCTCCAGGCACCAGCTTAACAAGCAGGTGCTTGGGGCGGCCAAGGGAGAGGGGTGGCACCTGTGGCAATTCGGGGGCGGCAGGTCCCTCACTCCCTCTAGGAGCGAAGGACCTGCCGCTGAACTGCCGCCGCCAATCGTGTTTTTTTTTTTTTGCTTGGGGCGGCAGAAATGCTGGAGCCGGCCCTGGGTGCAGCCATACTCTTTTGGTACGTCTATACTTACCTCCGGGTCCGGCGGCAAGCAATCGATCTTCTGGGATCGATTTATCGCGTCTTGTCTAGACGCGATAAATCGATCCCGGAAGTGCTCACCGTCGACGCTGGTACTCCTGCTCCGTGAGAGGAGTACGCGGAGTCGACGGGGGAGCCTGCCTGCCGCGTCTGGACCCGCGGCAAGTTTGAACTAAGATACTTCGACTTCAGCTACGTTGTTCACGTAGCTGAAGTTGCGTATCTTAGTTCGAAGTGGGGGGTTAGTGTGGACCAGCCCATTGTTTCCAATCCACATGGGGGAGAAACCATTGTAGACTGCACAAATTCAGCCCAACCCGAACTAAAGACCAGCTCCAGGTGTTGCAGCTACTGATACAAACAACACTTGTAAAACATCTGGAACGACTGTTGTGTGTGGACATGTATGACAATGGCTTTGTATGCCCAAGGCGTTTTGGCTGCAAGTTTATCACCATGTGTTTTCACCTAGTGTCATCAGGGTCATAGTGAGAATGAGAGTCCCCTGTAAGGAAGCCAGAAGGAAAACCACGAAAGGAAGTTTTTCAATCAACTAGCAACAAGTGATGACTCAGCAACTGATCTACCTGCTTGAGATATTGAAACCTGTTTATTATTATTGTTAAGATTCTCACCCAAGGCAGGAATCGAGTGGTGTTCCTTAAGTATATCGCACACAAACAAGGTAAGACAATTGTGATAGAGTTTTAAACTTCAGACATGGATTATATATGATAGGTTTTTTTGAGCTAGTTGGTTTATATGGTGCTTACCTCTTTTCCTTTTATGTGGAAACTGCAAATTTGCTAATTTAAGTGTGGGTTCATTAGAATTTGTTGTGAGTCCTTGTTTTTTGGGGAAAGGAAAAGAAACATTCATCTTTTTCTTTTTGGTCCCTTTTCTGTTGCTGTCCACCACAGAAAGAATTTTCAAAGGGGCCCATTTCTTCTTTGTGCTAGTCACAATGGCTCTGCTGGATTTCCTCTTATTCTGCTGTATCTTCAGATTACCTGCTGGGTTCATTTCTATCTTGGTATCTTCCTGGAACTGGTTCAATTCTGGAGTATTCTTAGGTTTTTCAGTTTCAACTCTTATCTCTGCTGCTATGTCAGGAAGCACCGAGTCCGGTGGCAAAACGAAAGAAAAGTCAGCCTCACAGGTTCTGTCAGAAATGCCGCACAGGGACTGAGGCTTGCCCGCCAAACAGTCTAAAGCCACGGACATTTCCAAAGAATAGCTGCTGGGGTCAGAAATGTAAGACTTCAGTTGGGAAAATGACTGTTTTTGGCATTTTTCAGAAGGAGAAACACTTTCAGACTTATTTGGATCACAAGAAAGGGGCAAATTGTCATTTTTGCCAGAAGCTGCAAGTGAATTTTTATCGAGTTTTGCAAATTTCTGGAAGTACCGCTTAACCAAAATGCTGGAATGGATTCCCGCCTCAGGTGGACATGTTGTAGCTTCCTGTATGGCATAGCGAAGGCCAGGCAAAATAGAGGTTACTTTTAAAGAGATCTCGCTGAGTTCGTTTTCACAGTTCAATTCTTGACTTTTTACTGTAAAGAAAAAAAAGTACTTCAATAATATAACAATATAATCACGCAGACACACAAATGTATCAATGCTAAAGTAACGTTAAAGGTCTGAAAAACACACAAAAAGTTATTCCCAAAACATTCTCCTCACTTTGATGGATGCTTTTAACTCCTGCTAAAGATAAGGAGAGTTCCACGTGGATAACAAACATAGACTAGATCCCTCAGAGTCAAAAAAGAAATTCTAAGCTAATACTCTTTCATTAGCTTGCCCCGTTGTGCAAGTTATTCCAGAGGCTTTAGAGAAAAGAGTGTAACATTACATATCGTACACAGAGCAAATTCAGTTATCTGAATGTTTCCAAGGAAATCTGAAATGTTGGGATAAACAGAGGTATGAATAAATGAATTTCTGGTTCCAGACCAATTTAAAATTTGAGATATCTCAAAATTCAGTTAACGGGGGTTGGCCTGTGTTGTTTATCTCCCTGTTTAGATGCTGCCTTCAAGAGTATTTGCATCTTTATTATGCAGACCGCTGGAGAAAGTAATTGGCTTAGAAACTACAGTTCTATTAAACAAAAGACATATCGCATGTTGTGCAGAATAGGGAAAAGAGGGTATAAACAGGACGTGCTATAGTAATACAAATAAATAATAATAATGCCAGAATGCTACTCTCAGCTGGACACACTGGGTGAAATCCTGGCCCCATTAAAGACAATGGGAGTTTTACCATTGACTTCAATGGGGCCAGAATTTTACCACCCATTGTCTTCAACGTTAGGGAAACAGATGTCTTGCTGAAGGTACGGATCTCCATTTGTTAAGTGTCCCTGCTGTTCGAGGGAATTAATTTGAGCATAGAGTCAGATGTTTTTCAACCACACCCTTTTCATGAATAACCAATGTCAGACATGGCTTGCCGGGTTTTTCCAGATGCACAGTTTGTGCAACCTGCTTCATTATTTAGCCTGCTGCAATCTCACAACTGCAACACAAGCCCTTGTAAGCACACGTCTTGATTGACATCTGTCACTCTTAGCAAGGCTCCCAGCAGTGCCGCTCTGCTGCCTGTTGCTTGTTCAAGAATGCGGTAGCACAGTTGCTCGCTGGGTTGAGCAATCCCAATCGTGTTACACTTACCTTACATTCTTCACATTGGGTGGGCTTCAGAGCCCACGCTCCAACTTGAGCCGAAACTTCAAAGCGCTCTTTACTCAGCTATTTTTAGAGATTAGCACCAGCCCTGCAATCCCAAGTCTGTTGACCAGGGATGGGAGGCTTGCTGCCAAATGCGGTGTAGACAAACCCGCAGGTAAGCTCACAATAGACACTGTTGATTTTCAAAGCCTTTAACCCTCAGATCTTCAAGGGCATAAGAATGGCCATACTGCGTTAGACCAAAGGTCCATCTAACCCAGTATCCTGTCTTCAGACAGTGGCCAATGCCAGGTGCCCCAGAGGGAATGAACAGAACAGGTAATCAAGTGATCCATCCCGTCACCCATTCCCAACTTCTGGCAAACAGAGGCTAGGGACGCCATTCCTGCCCATCCTGGCTAATAGCCATTGATGGACCTATCCTCCATGAATTTATCTAGTTCTTTTTTTAACCCTGTTGTAGTCTTGGCCTTCATAACATCCTCTGGCAAAGAATTCCACAGGTAGACTGTGCCTTGTGTGAAGAAATACATCCTTCTGTTTGTTTTAAACCTTCTGCCTATTAATTTCATTGGGTGACTCCTAGTTCATGTGTTATGAGAAGGAGTAAATAACACTTTCTTATTTACTTTCTCCACACCAGTCATGATTTTATAGACCTCAATCATATCCCCCCGCTTAGTCATCTCTTTTCCAAGCTGAAAAGTCCCAGTCTTATTAATCTCTCCTCATATGGAAACCATTCCATACCCCTAATCATTTTTGTTGCCCTTCTCTGCACCTTTTCCAATTCCAATATATCTTTTTTGAGAAGGAGCGATCACATCTGCAAGCAGTATTCAAGATGTGGGCATATCACGGGTTTATATAGAGGCAATATGATATTTTCTGTCTTATTATCTACGCCTTTCCTAATGATTCCCAATATTCTGTTCGCTGTTTTAACAGCCGCTGTACATGGAGTGGATGTTTTCAGAGAACTACCCAAGATCTCTTTCTTGAGTGGTAATAACCAATTTATTCCCCATCATTGTATGTGTATAGTTGGCATGACTATTAATTCTTAGAATTCTAAAGTGAGAAACAGCAACTGAGTAAATTCAGTGCCCACCTCTCTCCTCCTCTCCCTTTGCCCTTCCTGCTTTTCCCCTTTTCCATCTTGCTATCTTTATAGTCTCACAAAACCCCAGTACAGAGCCAACCAAAAGGCACTCCACTCTTCCCCTTAGAGCTAGGAGAGAGTCTATAACAACATTATTTTTAACACTGGGAAGGAGAAAGTCCAGTTCTGGCAGGAAAGCAAGATTTGAACTGGGTTAACACAGGTCTACAATAGCTCATTCAGATAAACTGAAATTAAACAGCAACCTAAAAAGGAGCCCTGTTGAAACCAACAACTGGAAGCTACTAAATGTTAAGTATCAGAGGGGTAGCCGTGTTAGTCTGAATCTGTAAAAAGCAACAGAGGGTCCTGTGGCACCTTTGAGACTAACAGAAGTATTGGGAGCATAAGCTTTCGTGGGTAAGAACCTCCCAATACTTCTGTTAGTCTCAAAGGTGCCACAGGACCCTCTGCTACTAAATGTTAAAATCCTACAGTGCAATCTAATTGAAAATACACCATCAAAATAATTTAAGAACTGTAATATAATTAATACTCTAATTCAGGGGTTGGCAACCTTTCAGAAGTGGTGTGCCGAGTCTTCATTTATTCACTCTAATTTAAGGTTTCGCGTGCCAGTAATACATTTTAACGTTTTTAGAAGGTATCTTTCTATAAGTCTATAATATATAACTAAACTATTGTTGTATGTAAAGTAAATAAGGTTTTTAAAATGTTTAAGAAGCTTCATTTAAAATTAAATTAAAATGCAGAGCCCCCGGACCGGTGACCAGGACCCGGAAGTGTGAGTGCCACTGAAAATCAGCTCGTGCGCCGCCTTCCGCACACGGGCTATAGGTTGCCTACCCCTGCTCTAATTACTATATATTATCCTCTCCTCTTCCCTCTTTTCCTGGCTTGGAACCAGGAAGTAATGGCAAACTCCTTCCCACATCCACGCTGTGCTCAAACCCTGCCACTTCATTCTCCACCACACATCAAATCTCTGTCCTTTCTGTCCCGTTCATCTGGGCCGCGCTGGGCTCCAATCATTTCCTGCCTTGACTACAGCCAAATCCTCCCCTCTGGCCTCAGTGACACCCACATCATCCCCATTCCCGTCTCTCCAAAATATGGCCATCAAAATGATCTTCCTTGACAGACTGACCATCTCACTCCCCATTCTGAATCCCTCCAGTAGCTTCCCTTTGGAGACACATCAAGTTTAAAATTCTCACATTCATCTTCAAAGCTATCCATAATTCTGCCCCAGGCTACCTCTTGGATCTTGTCTGCTATCACATTTCCCCCTTGTTGTTCTGCCATTTTCTGTGATTTCCTTCTCTCACATCCATCTCCGTATGTCTCCTCCCACCCTATGCATGGAATGCCGTTCCCAAAGCAGTGTGCCAAGCTACAATCGTCTTTTCATCAAAATTATACCTCTACCCCGATATAATGCTGTCCTTGGGAGCCAAAAATCTTCCTGCGTTATAGGTGAAACTGTGTTATATCGAACTTGCTTTGATCCGCCGGACTGCGCAGCCCCGCCCCCCCTGCCCCCGGAGCACTGCTTTACCGTGTTATATCCAAATTCATATTATATCGGGTCGTGTTATATCGGGGTAGAGGTGTACTTTTAAACGCCTATTTCTGTCACAGTTGCCTGAAGGAAGAGAGTTTATAGCTTAGTTCAAATTATAAATAGAAGCTAAACTCCCCCCACGTCTGGATTTCCAATTGGGTCCTGTCTACTTTCTAAATTATGAGCTCTTTAAGGCCTGGTTTATTTTTATTTGTGTGCTATATGGCACTGAAGCACATTGTCAGCACAATTCAAATAATCACTAAAACAAGAACAGAATAAAAAACCTGATAGTGTGTGTTGATCTAATGTTTTACTGGCTTGACTTTAGAATGAATCACCAAAAACAAAGCCAAAAGTTATACAGGTCATTTAAAAGGAGAAGCAAATACAACTTTTCTACCAGCACCATGTATTACATTCCCTATGTTTAAAAGAAAAAGTCGTTTCAGAAACTATTTTAGAATTGCAACATTTTTAGCGCTACGATTTTTTTGTATCCTTCCAACTGTACAGTCCAGTTAGTCGTGTTACGGTACATCGTCACAGCAAGAAAAAAGCCTACGGCAGCGAGTCTGAGAGCCTGGGTCACCTGACTTGGGCTCGCGCTGCAACAGTAAAAATAGTAGTTTACACGTTTGGCCCTGGGCTGGAGTCCGGGCTCTGAAACCCGGTGACAGGGGAGGGTCTTGCAGCCTGGGATGTAGCCCAAGCATCTACCTGGCTATTTTTAACCCCGCAGGATGAGTCCTGAGAGCCGGAGTCTTTTTTTGCTGTGTAGACATACCGTTCGTTACTACGCAATGAACGCTACAGGTCTCCGAGGAAGAGAAAAGTTATAATACGTTTTTAAACACATGACTTTAAATTGCTTTACTGTTCATTGGGATTACACAGATCTATAGTCCAGTATCTTATGAGCCACCAGAGAGGATATGGGTGTGTGTGTGTGTGAGGGATGTGCGGTCATGTGCCCCCCCATTTGCTGCTTGCCTTGTACTGTTCAGAGGTTTGCAATATTAGAAGTATTCCCTAATGAGGTGAATTAGTGAAAAGAAAGCAGGTGGGGCAGTAAAAAGTGAATAACCATTTTTTCACATGATTAAATAAATAAACTTTACACATTAATGCCATCACCTTCTAAAAGGCATGGTATAAAATGAATATACAGATATAAAATGTTATGTGAATATAACATCGAAGAAGTTGAAATTGTATTATATTTCAAGATTTATGTGTGTTTAAATTTGCAACCTTCATTTTCCATTCATTTGATTTTTTTACATAATATAATATATGGAGATATCCTATCTCCTAGAACTGGAAGGGACCCAAAAAGGTCATTGAGTCCAGCCTCCTGCCTTCACTAGCAGGACCAAGTACTGATTTTGCCCCAGATTCCTAAGTGGCCCCCTCAAGGATTAAACTCACAACCCTGGGTTTAAGCAGACCAATGCTCAAACCACTGAGCTATCCCTCAAAGGCAAATCTTAAGAGACCACAAACAGCAGTAAACGTAAGTAATGCTTTACTCAACAAAGCTCCTAGATAACTTCTAGTTCTTACTGAGAATATCATTCAGAGATTTATAATAGGTAAACCACTGTTTATAATTCCATCAGTATTAGAGTTCTAGAATCTGCTGACAAAGAGACCTAAAGGGAATCATATAATCAAAATATAAATGCTATGTTTTATACTGGTTCAATATTTTCACACGGATAATAGATGCAAACAGAACACCCTACCTGTCAAACATACTGATCTAGATGAAGTGAATAAAAACAACGCTTGGAGACTGATGGGCTCGTCTAGGTCAAAATCTGTAAAAAAAGAAAATGCAGTTTATTTATAAAAAAGAGAGTGTTCTATAATTTAAAAAAAGGCGTACAATGGGAAGTATTTATTTAGACCTTAAATAATTCTTACCTTTGTCCCCTGTTAACGCAGAGGATGAAAGTAAAATAAGAAACCCTTGATCTTGTAAATATTTGATGATTGCCTAGAATAAGTGCATATGAAACTATAGTGAGTGTTTTCTTTTCCTTTAAAGCAAATTCATTACTCGCTAAAGACATACTGCATAGTCACCAGCACTGCAGGTTTCCCCACCAATGTGTCTCAACAAAATCTTAGCAGCACCACCTCTAGAGATGAGGCAACAGTTCAGAGGGAAGGGCGGCCAGCACATCCCTCGGCCCGCGCCACTTTCCGCAGCCCCCATTGGCCTGGAGCGGCGAACCGCGGCCAGTGGGAGCCATGATCGTCCGAACCTGCTGATGCGGCAGGTGAACAAACCGGCCCTGCCCACCAGGGGCTTTCCCTGAACAAGTGGCAGACCGGCTTTGAGAACCACTGCTCTAAGAAATAGACCAGCACGATCAACTCATTTCTTATAGATGAGGTCAATGAACCACAGTCAGATGGTAAAAACATTTCAGTCAGTACCAGCCTGTGCAAATTTGAGCTAGTGACCCATAGATGAAATCTTCCATATAGTCTATTAGCAATCCCCCAAATTCATCCACTCCCCCTTATTTCTTAATAACATATTATTTATCCAAAAGGCATGTAATAATTAAAAGACATCATAGTTTGAGGCTCTCAGGTCCACAAGCCTCTAAGCACCTTAACAAGAAATAGTTGTAAATATATCACAACTAAAAAAACGTGTCCAAATAAAGCCAAGAGTAGGAGCGAAATAAAACTCCACTATCCTACTAGCATACAATAAACCGTTCCACCCACATCACCAAACTAAAGTGAAAATAAAAGATTACATACGTTTGACTTATTAATATCAGCAATATAAAATGGGAACTGTCAAAAAACCACATTCACAATGAAAATACAGTAATTTAGAAACATTAAATAATTTCACTATTTAATGTTTAAACAAATTAATGTTAAAACATTTTATAGTTGTAGAGGAAAAGAATAAAAGCCAAGTTAATCACAAAGTTATTACAATGCAGGTCCAAATAAATAAAACAATGACATTTCTTATCAGTCTAAAGGCTGCAAGCAGGAAGGATGAGGAAAGCCAAACTCTAATTAGACATCAGAGTTTAAAATACAGTTCAGAAATTTATATTGAACAAAATAGGTGCAGTTTGATTTCAAGCAGCACAAATTACCCCAATGGCACTTTCATTTTTAGACTGCAAGAAGAGTACTGTAGGCACACACAGTTGAAAGTGAAACTATAATGCTGGTCATTTTAGTTTCACTTTCAATTAGGTGCCAGTGAAGTAAAATCACCAGCAATTAACTAACATAAATAAATGGTAAATAACAATCATATAATAAAAAGCCACAAAGCAGAGTGGGGCAATGCTTGCTGCCTCCTCCTTGAAACACAGAAGAGGTTTTTCAGCCCAATTTGACTATTTTTTGATACTTTAAATACAATTATGAAATGTTCTTATTTGCACTCAATTCCAAATCCCCATTCACCATCACTGTGAAACCTTGACTTCATAGGCTCCTCTGAGATTCCATTCTACCCAATCCCCATTCACCGACACTGTGAAACCTTGACTTCATAGGCTCCTCTGAGATTCCATTCTACCCAATCCCCATTCCCCGACACTGTGAAACCTTGACTTCATAGGCTCCTCTGAGATTCCATTCTACCCAATCCCCATTCCCCGACACTGTGAAACCTTGACTTCATAGGCTCCTCTGAGATTCCATTCTACCCAGTGCTTAATTTATAATGAAAGAGGTGCCGGGGCTCAAGCAATTTTTTTACATTCAAAACTGATGCGGCAAGCCCAGAGGTGCCAGGGCTATGAACTGCCAAGCCTAGAGGTACCAGGGCTATGAACTGCCAAGCCTAGAGGTACCAGGGCTCAGCCCTGGCAAACCCCGGCACAAATTAAGCACTGATTCTACCCATGTCACACAAGATCGAAATCCAGCTATCAACCTCTTCAGCCTTTCTGAACAATGAGAAGCTGCAGAAGGCTGCAGACCTTGGGCCAGGCCTCAGCTGGTATACATCAGCATACCGTACCTGAAGTCAACAGAACCTTGCCAGTTTACATCAGGTGAGGATTTCGCCCCCTAGCTTTGAGTCAGGAGGAGAAATTGCAGGGGAGAAATTCTTTTTCAGATCAGAGCATAGCCTCCACAATTTCACAACTCAGGAAGCCTATGAAGCTTTTAGAGGGCAGCTGCCAAATATCTGGTTAGATTGGGGCTCTCTATCAGCCATACAGGAGAACTCTGAGAGTGGGGCACCTGGTATCCTTTGCTCAGTAAGTGGGCATTCTGCTTGCCCTGCAGCAATCAGTCTCCACCAGCTTAATACATATAATGCATTAAGAGCCCTTTAACTATATGATTTAGTGTGCAATAGTAAAAACAAAAAAAAAATCTCGGCAAGACATAAAGGAAGACTCAAAGGCCTTGAAAAATGCATTGTATTCAGTGCTGTGTTTAATTCATGCTAGCAATCAGGTCACAACTTGTACCCTGTAATCTTCTGTCAACACTCCATAAATTGCAGTCCCTCACCTCAAAATATTCAACATGCCACTTTTCAAAGTTAAGTAACTCAGATGCCAATTTGCATTATTTAGGAAGAGGCCTGTAAACCACTTTTAAAAACTAAGAATCTGAACATAAAAATTAAATATGACCATTTTTCCCTGGACTACAATCACTTAAAATAATTCTTACCAACTCCTTTTCCTTTAGGTTTTCTAATAATGGATCCATTTTATGTTGGTCTTTATTTGAAATTTCCACTTCATACAAACTGAAGTAAATATCTTGATAACAGACTGGGAAGGAAACAAAGAGCACTTTATATTTAAATAACTGACTTAAATGAACCTCTGACATAGAAAACAGAAATAAAAAAGTAGTACTACACATGGACCAGCATGATTAGTATTCAGAGAATGAAAATCCTGGGTTTTAAAAGAGTAAATACTGCAGAGATTTTCTAAACAGTTGCATGAATTCACATCACAGGAGCAATCTACTGCTATCACCAGTTTAAGAGGAAGTTCATGGTTGAAACACTGCAGCAGACAAAAGCAACTTAATGTATTTTCATTGATTTTGCAGCGCTTTGCGGAGGTGTCCAGAGGTATGTAGGATGCAATATAAAATACAAGTTGTCATAAAATGCTCGTGAATGCTATCAACAACACCTATTTTATATCCTGGATTCCATACGCGGTCTAGTGGACACTATCTAACAGCTACTGAGGTCAATAGCAGAATTCCCCATTACAAATTAATGTTTAAATCTGTCATTCGGCATGGTAAAAATTGGTCGTAAGATTCCATAAACCATATCCTAATGGTCAAAATTCCATACCAAAAGAAATATAAACGAACAGACCCAAACTTGAAAACAGGAACACATTTCTTCTTCACATTTGTTCTCCCTCCACCCACCCCATTGACTAGGGCAGAGGGAGAGAGAAAAGAAGAAATCCCTATGCGTATACTTTATACCACAGTGACAAGGGCAGTATAAACTACTAGTCTAGTCAATATCTTTTCTAGCCCCTTCCTAAATTTGCTCTGATATGAGGCTTCCTCACACTTGACTTAAAATGGTATCTTCCGAGCCTCTCCCAGAGCCCTGCGGATCTTCCCATTTAATTTCTCCCTCTCACGGACACCCAAAGTCACGGTAGCGCTCCCTTAGCAGACAGCCGGATGCTGCTCCCTGCAGACTGTGTTCTTTGGGCTTACCGAAGGTTGCTAGATTGTGCCATGAGGCCTACACTTTGGCTGCTGAATGCCCCTTGCTGGCTCAGAAGCGAGCGACTATGGGTTTGATCAGGCAGCATGTAAAGTACCCTGAGATCAACGATCGATGAGGATACTCAACACTGGGCAGATTCAGGCTCCAAGTTTGGATAAGCAACTGCAGAAGTATCTTGTGCTACCCTCTGTCACCCTATAAAAAGGGCTGCTTTAAAAGAAAACAAGCCACATATGAAAAACTATGAAATAATTACTCATTCATACTGTGAGTGATTGTACACGTACCTTCGTTTTTTGTGTAATTACTTTTTCCAAATGCAGCTTCCGGTAGTTTTTTTTTCAAATCAGACACGCCTATGATATATTTCATTTCCAGTTTGGCTGGCCTATCAAAAGAAGGGCAAAAGTGGTCAAGATGAAATATATGTATAGTTCTAACTCAAATGAGGACTCTAAGGTTATTATACCATTGTAAAACTGAAAAGTGGACAACTGCTCATTCCACTGAACCGAGCTCTGACATATGGCTTATTGTTTGCAGTGTTGTAGCTGTATTGGTCCCAGGATCTGAGAGAGACAAGGTGGATGAGATAGTGTCTTTTAATGGACCAACTTCTCTCTCTTTCACCAACAGAAGCTGGTCCAATAAAAAGATATTACATCACCCACTTGTCTCTCTCCTATTGATTACTGGCTCCCAGAGAAAAAATACTGAAGTGGACCTAACGGAATTAATTAGTTTCAGTTGACAAAACAGAATAGTCTTCCCAAAAATTACTTTTTAAAAATAATACCAATTTATGGCTTCTTTGACTAGCTTGACAATGATGCCAAATGAGTAATAGTCTCCAAAGACCAAAGCAGACATCAGAAAGAATTAACAATCCTGGATACAGGTGATGTCACCTAATAGCGAAGTGTCCAATCAGATGTCTCAAAAATAAAAGCATGTCCCTCGTGAGGTATAAACGGTTAGTATACAAAGCCACGTGGATGCCTACTGCAGGAACAGAAAGGTGGCATTGTGTGTTCTGTACCAGACTTTGGCCTGGACCAGCATCAAGTGGTCTCTACTGACCCAAAGGGACCTTAAACAGTGGCATGTTACTGCAAGTCATGGGGCATATGTTGGAAAAAACAGCTTTTGACCTGAAGAGTTATAGCCAGTATCCTTCCTGTCTGGATACTGGATAAGAACCTACGTAAAGCAGAAGACAATTTATTCTGTTCTCTCCCACTTTAAAACTTTTTAAAAATATATTTTTAGCTTAGAGGCCAACACACACTCCCCACGAAATTCATAAAAACCACAGCAAAACTGGGAGGAAAGTATGATCAGAAGAAAATGAGTGACTAGCTAATCCCTAGCACCAAACAGACTACAAACCCTCTAACTTGTTAAATTCTTCACCGTTATCTAATTCTGATTAAATATTTTAAACACTTACTTTAATATCTTATTCACCATTTCCCCAAGCTACAATTCATCAGTTTGACTTTATTAGTATAACAACAAAGTCTATTTGCCATAGGAAAAAGAAAAGGAAAAACCAGGAATAATGTATTGGGCTCAATACTCAAAACTAGACACCTCATGTAGCACAAGCAAAATATGCCCTTTCCCTGATGCAGCTCATTTTCCTCGCTGTGCCAGCTCATCTGGCAGTGGGGGGTGGGGGGGCAGCAGAGCCTGGGGAAGGGAGAGGAAGGAAGAGGGAGGGAGGGTAGAGGGGGCAAGAGCAGCCACTGCTACCTCTGTGCATGGTAGGGTGACCAGATCAGCAGTATAAAATATCGGGACGGGGGGGGGGGAGCAAAAAGAAAAGGGGGGGGCGGACCAAAAAAAAAGGGGGAGTTAAAAGGGCGGGGGTATTAGCAGGCCCGGCCGCACGCGCTGCCCTCCCCGT